ACTCTCATGTGGAGAGTCATGGGCATGTTCTAGTGTTAAAAAGAACTTCTTAAACTAGAAAAAGCTCTAGCTTAGGGTGCTTATTGAAATTACAGATTATCAGATCCACTTTATACCTATTGAATCAGAATCTCTAAGGATAGGGCCCAGGAATCTGTGTTTTTAACAAGCTTGTCCCAGGGGATTTTGTCAGGTTTGGTAAACAGTGCTCCGGGGTCCCCTGAATCACAAGACTTCGTTGTCTCAAGATGATATCCACTTGCAAGGTTCTGAGAGCAGTGAGGGCAACTGAGAGCTAGACCTGTGCCACCTCCAGCTAATTGATGGTGGCTGCAGGGGGAGCTGAGCCATGTCCTGGATCAGTGGGAAACATTTTGCAATCACCGATGTCTGCCTTGGTTACTGGGGGTTAGTACTGCTACATGTGTTATCTTTGGCCTGGGGAAATACCTGTCCATTGACTTTTTTTTTCCCACATATTTTTCATTTCTAGTTAAAAACTTCTTCAGAGTCAGTTTCAAAAATGGATCGCAAAGTCAGACCCACTCGCTACAAGCCAATGACACCTTCAACAAACAGCAATGGCTCAACTGTATTCGTCAAGCCAAAGAAACGGTTCTGTGTGTTGCCGGGCAGGCTGGGGTGCTTGACTCCGAGGGACCATTCCTAAATCCCGCCACCGAGAGCAGGGAGCCACAGGGAGAAACAAAACTTGAGCAGATGGACCAATCGGACAGTGAGTCAGACTGTAGTATGGACACAAGTGAGGTCAGCCTCGACTGTGAGCGCATGGAACAGACAGACTCTTCCTGTGGGAACAGCAGGCATGTTGAGAGCCACGTCTGACAGAGTGTACTTCCTGGAAGTAGCCCTGCGTCTTACCTGTACAGTATTTGCATTCCACACATGGAACGGTTTGGAGAAGCACTTTTTAATACTTTTGTGACCATGTTGGCCCAGTCTCTTCTATCTGTACCTTTGTCCCTAGTACTGTAACTGCCAGTCTAGTCTGTCTGTGTAAGCTGGAATCCATGGCAACTGTTACCCTGTATTGTATTTCACAAGTGTCTGGATGGATGGAGAGGTACTTGAACAAGTTACTTTCAATTGCCCTGCTGGATTTTTTAAAAAATAGAAACAAAAAGAATTTCTAAACTACTGTTTTATGTAGATTGCTTGAAGAGTTCTTCCTCCTGTGCGCCTCTAGTGCTTGTCCAGCTCTTGGACGTGGTAGCTGAAGGCATGGAATTTAGACGGCCTTGCAAACAGCACATGAGGAAGTCATGAGGGAGTGTTTCGGGATGGCACTGGAGGCAGAAGCGGGGAAGATCAACCCTTGAAGTGAACTTGATTTGATGTTATTCAACTAGAAAGTCTGAAAACATCCCTGGGAATTCTGAAGGCTTAATTTTGCAAAGGAGGAAGCATTGTCTGAACCTTGCAATTTCATCTAGTGCCAGTTTGATGTAAGAATCTGTTAGGACATGAAATAGAGGCTGACGTTAAAAGGGCCAGGACAAAAGCAGCTGCCAGCTGTGAATCTTTAACTGAAATGTGCATGGCACTGAGAGGTGTCTCTCATAGTTGGTGGCCAACCTAAAACGTCAGAATAGAACCCAGAGGGCCTGGGAAAACCTGCCAGGATAACAAGAAGGCCCTGTCTTCATTTTGTTTCATCTGCCCAGACCTACTCATACTTTAGAGTACGAACGAAGCGACAAGGAAAACAGGCTGTGACTCTGTCAGTGACTTTGTTTATAGAAACACAGGAGGGGAAGAATTTGGAATAAGAAGCACTTCATCAGAACCTCCTGTGGGAACCATTAAAAGAGAAAAGCGTGACCCAGTGCATTCTGAGAAAGGCCAGAGCCTTGGGTTTTCCTGCTCTGCTTTTAGGTGGTCAGTTTGCCATCTCTGGTTCTGTGCGCTATAATCAGAATTATAATTACATTCTCCAGAGGCCAATTTCATTAACTCTGATTAATTAGAATCAGCTAGCCAAACTAGTAACCTCTTTGTCCAGCCTTGATTTTACAGTGCAGGGTGGAGTGCAGACCTTGAAAAAAGTCAACTAAATACACAGAAAAGTTCCCTGCGAATGTAAATATTAAGGATGACCTGTGCAAAATTACACCCACACCAGCACTAGTAGTAATGATTTTAAATTATTGCCAAAAAGCTTTTTTTT